GGCGCCCGGCCGGGCGCAATGCACTGGCCCCGCGGCCGGCCGCCTCGGGACTCGGAGAATTTGGCAGGCCGCGATGGGGTGATTCCGTCCGATCGGCGTCGTATGGTTCCGCGGACTCGGACAATCAGACAATCACTGGTACTCGTACTGATTTTCACTTCACTTTGAGTAAAGGTACTCTGCCGCGAACTCAGTTTGAGTAAAATTGGATAAAGTTGAGTAAAGGCCCGCCCAGTGACCCTCAGGCTCTCAGTGAGGTTCAAGCCCAGGCTCAGTGCCGCCGCCCGGCCAGTGTCCGATCGGAGATTACGTCATTCCCGGCAAAGATCCCTCAGTCACCCGTTATGATGACCGGGCCTCTCACTAATACTGTCAGACAGTACTACTACTGTGATAAGACTCCGCTTGAAGGCAATCAAGATACAGTGACTATCATCCGTGATGCCATGTCTCCTTGTAACTCCGAGTCAGTCGTTCAGAGGCGCGGCGAAAAGATCTACATGATATCGAGAACAAAGAGAAAGCTACCACCGGTATAAATCTATTAGAAAGGACCGGGTATATCTTTCCGGCCCTTAAATCCCTTTACTGCAATCGAAACCTCGCTATTTCATGAAGAGGCCGGCAAGGATGACAGGAGACGGTCTCCGTGTTCGTCATCCTCCTTGTCCCGCTCCTACTTTGGCCCCAACCCTCCCCGTGCTTCACCCTCCGGAGTTCGCAAGGGATACTGAAGTCAGTCTTTATCTTTCCATTTCCCTTCCTCTCCTCCAAACCCAACTGAACTCCATACTCCCCTCCACACCTTCATCTCTTCCTAGTCTTCTCCCCTCCAACCAACATATACATAAACAACATGGATGAAAAGTTCTTATTTCCATATGATGACGACATGCTCTCCCAACACCCCCAACCACCCTTCCTCTCCTCCCCTGCTCCCCCCCAGACGGAGCCTCCCTCCTGCCAAGATCGTCTCCAGCATGACAGCATCAGCTCTCAGATCTCCTCCGCCCGCGTCGCGCTCGTCTGCCCTCGCAAGAAGAAGGCAGGCCCTGGCCAGTCTCCCCGACAGCCCGACGACCCGGTCGTGCTGACGAGAGAGCTTCTGGAGGGCCTCTTCGATCGCTCGCTCGCTGCGGCATCGGAGGCGCTTGGGATCTGCCCTACGGCCATCAAGAAAGCCTGCAGGAGGCTCGGGATCGACAAGTGGCCTTTCAAGGGGCCGGCAGGGAGGTCCAGCAAGCCACCTACCCCGCCATCCTCGTCGGCCATGTCGGGAGGGTGTGTGGCATCGGTGGAGGTGTCAGCGTGCGAGGACCTGCCGCTATCAAGCCATGACGTTTGTTCGCTTGAGATCGTTCCGTCGAAGTGCGAATTTTTGCAGTGCAAAACTAAGCCGAGTGAATTTTTTTCCTGTTTCAGCTTTGAAGGCCATTCAAGGACACTGCAAGATAAGATCGACGATCCTCACTGCACGGAGACCCGCCATTGCCCTCTTCTGCTTCAACGCCGAGACTCTCTCGACCAGTACGCGTCCATGCTCGCCGTACCTCCAGGAGAGGAGGGGCAAGGCGACGCCGTGTTCTGGAAGGAGCTGCTGGGGATGCTGCCGGAGGAGGTGAAGGGGAAGAGGGTGGAGGCCGACTTTGACTTTTCCTGTCGTTTATGATCTTGCGTGGATCATGGATAACCATGTTTACTTGCGAGGCATACCATATCATGTTATATGTTTGCTCAATAAAACTTGAAGATGTTGATTTGCGGCTTGAAATTAGTTTTTTAAGCACAGTTCAGACTGTCGACTGATCCCTGGCAAGAGCGGTGGTCCGCAGGGCTAAGCCAGCAAGGGACACTGACACGATCCTGGTAGGACACCGGCTGGCAACATAACTAGAGCCTCGCAGTCATTCGAGTTTTGAAAGATCTGCTGCAGCCGGCCGGCAGCAGGACGGTTCGAACGGTGCCTTCAACTTGCTCATCCACCTGATTGAATCAAGTGCTTGGCATCAGTTGTCTGAGTTCTTGTCAGTCATTCTGGTTGCGGATTGTAGTACGCCATACCGGAGAAAAGAATAAAATTTGTTACAAGATAGAAACTCTCCACGGAAGTGTAGTACACCGGACACAACTCGGAAGTTTCAAAAATATTTCCAATCATCAGCAAGTTTTCTCCTCAGTAACCGAATCTTCGCAGCCGTTTTTTGATTGCTTCTAAAGGTATACTTGTTTTGATTGCTGGAAATAACACCCGTGGGTGACTGACCGCTCCTGCTTTCTCTGTTGCCAAACAGATTCCACAGCAAAGATTTGTTTGTGTTCGCCGACGTCCTGAACGTTTGAGACTGAAATCTTTCTACAGGACCCGCTTTGTAATCCACTTTCATCATTGCAGCTGCGTCTTGTCGAAAGGATGGCGTCATCTGCCGTGAGGACGTGGCATTGTCTCTTTGCAGTTCCGGTGCACCACGTGGTAGTTGGGCTTGTTTCCAATATTCATGTTTTTGCTCGAACAATCCCACAGAGCTCTTGTCATCTGCATTCCTGCGGCGAAGGAGAAGGTGCGCAAGGTAGGATTGGACGGATTGGTGGATTTCACCTCTCAGCCTATGTCTCAAGTATCCCATCGAGGTCTTGTCAAAAGAAGAGTCCTGTTCAAGATCATAACAGCTCGGAGAGTCGAAATGCGTCAACAGATTACGTTTCACATCCATGATTTCTTTCTGTTCGCCCTTGATAATCTTGATCTCGGCCTCAATCAGCCTTTGCACAATTCCAGGGCTGGCAGCAATCTCGCTCGAGTGAATTGCTTCCTGCTCGTCCTGGTCCGCATCGCTCGACATCTCACCGATCAGACGACTGAGTGATTTCGCGTCCATCCTGGCGTTCACCCTCATCGACAACGGTGTGCGCTTGCAGAGCAGCGACTGCTTCAAACCTTGTTGTCTTGTGAGCAGCAACACTGCCTCTGTCCCAGCTTTATCATCGTCAGCATTCTTGGACAGGGAATCGAGAGAGAGTGCAAGCAGGAACAAAGAGGTAAGCGCCGTAGTACACGACCATGGTAGGCGCCGTGTTGACCTGGACATGAAAACGATCCCTCAAGTCTATTTTGGGCTCGCGAGTGATGCAGCAGTGATAGGTTGAAGTTCAATTTGACTTTTTCTTTCGCAGCCGGGCCGCGCGCGGCCCGGCCCGGGGCCGGGGCAAACGGCAGTGTCCGATGCCATGATGATCCGCCGATGATGATCGGATCATGAACGCCGTAACCGCCGGCGCATCACTGGGCCACACGTTCACAAGTTGACTTTTTCTTTCGCAGCCGGGCCGCCGCGCGGCCCGGGCCGGGGCAAACGGCAGTGTCCGCTTCATGCCATGATGATCCGATGATCATGAACGCCGTAACCGCCGGCGCCTCACTGGGCCACACGTTCCATGTCAACGGAGCTCGGACAGCCACTCCAGGCGGCTCAGCACACTGCCGATCAACCGTGCAACGGTGACTGACGGTTGTGCGGCGCCGCCGCGCCTGGGCCGCGCGGCGCGGCGGCCGCAGTGCCTCAGTCCCGCCGGATAGACGGCCCGTTCGGGCGTCCACCGCCCGCGGCGGCCGCGAACACTCAGCCTCCGTGACTTTGCGGCCGGGCCCGTGCCCCGGCGGCTTCAAGTACTGACAGGGCCGTGGCAAGCCGCTGAGCCTCGGGCCACTCCTGATTGTCCTCGTACTGATCTTTAACTTAACTTTGAGTAAAGAGTTCTGGGGCTGAGCGGCGACTGACTCTGAGGCAGGTTCGACTCCCTAAAGAAGGCAGCGAGATCTGACCGACTCCCTTTTACCGTACCGTTTCGTTTTCAGGGTTGACGGTCAACCAGACGTGCTCACGTCATCGATAGTCATACTGACCTGACGTGCATGCTTCGAAAAGACTTATTTTCATTCATTTGGATATGGACATAGAAGCCACCCCCCTTTTCATTTGGGGTTTCACCCCTACCCTTCACCTGCCCTGCCATATGGCCCGAGAGACAAGATCAACTCCGAGACGACCTCTTCAAAGAGACTGTTCCCGCCCCCACTACCACCCGTCATAATGACTACTTATATGAGGGTAGCCGTCTGTGGTGGCTCCCGTGAGCCTTTTGCTGACGGGTGACAGGAGTAAACCACTAAAAATCGCAATGATTGAAAATGGCCGCGCGAAGGATATAGTGTTAAGCACTGCAGCGGTTCGGATTAGATACCCGATCTGAATCGAGAAGAATCTTTTTCGAATTTTGATCCGTCCCCCAGCGTTACCTTATCACGGACTGGTCCTTCTCAAAGAGACAGACGAAACTGCTTCAGAATTCACTTCGTGTTCTCATTGTTTCAAATTTAAAGCAACAATTTCGAAACCCCCACTCTATTAAAAGTGTTATTATAGTAATCGTTGGCCTCCGTGATCCGCAACAGGATCCGCATGGGATATAAAAGCAGCAGCAGCTCCTCCTCCTCCTCACTTCATTTCCTGCCGCTACCTCGGTCTACTCTCATCGGTCCACGTGAGAGATAAACATGACAGCCTTCACCTTCGCAGACACGAAACAAACCTCTTCCTCCTCTCCTCTTCCTCAGAATGCTGCTCCTGTTTGCTCTCAATCTTACCCCCATATCTGGAACGAGCCTGACGCAAGTTTCTCCCAACACCCTTCCAACATCAACTCCGAGAAGGTCGCTCTTGTTTGTCCGAGGCGGAAGAAGAACCCCTCCGCGGCTAAAAGGGATGCTGAGGACCCTGTAGTGCTCACGAGGGAACTGTTGGAAAGCTTGTTCAGCCTTCCGCTCTCGTCCGCCTCCGAGCGGCTAGGGATCTGTCCTACCGCCATCAAGAAGGCATGCAGAAAGCTCGGCATCCCCAAGTGGCCGTTCAAGAATCAGAGCAGGAGGGGAGCATGCCAGAAGCAAGTGAGCGAAGCGTCAGGCGAGGACAAGGCAGTGTTCGGAGAGCCTGCTCCCCAGGCAGAGCAAGGCAGGGCGAACGAGCCCTATCACACAGTGTCAGCGCCGGACTTGGCCGCCTTCGAGGAGCCTGCGCACCGTAATGGAGAGAGCGAAGTGCACTATGGTATGAGTTCGTTCCAACCCTTAGCGCCTTTCGATGAGGGCGTGTTGTTCCTGAAAGGGAGCGAGTTGGGTCAAGCGCTGATGAATCCCTTGGAAGAGGACCTAGCGGACGAGATGTTCTGGAAGGAGATAGAAAGAGTTATCCCTGCCAAGCGGAGCTCTGCTTGTTAGCTTGTTTGTCTTAATCTATTTTGTTGGAAATTAAATGTTACATGTCGGATGTTTTCGCCAACTCAAATCAACTTGCCGATTTTCTTGCAATGGAATTGAGTATGAGAGGAGCAAGCAGGGAGCCATTCCATTCAGTTAGCGTATGAAGAGCACAAAGTCACTTGAATTGCCGAGGAGCTGGGGGTCAGATGGGCTTCTTGACGTCAGGGGCCCGGTACTTTTCGTGCTTCTTATCAATAGGCTGTAGCTTCAGCATCCTCCCCGTCTTCGCTATGGCGCTTCCAACAATTGTACGCGCGTCGATGCTCAGCTGACCAGCCGCTGCTCCTTGTCTCTTGTCGGGCTGACCAGCCGAACTGCTCTCCGTGCTGCCTTGGAGACTCGGCGCCGGTGCATGACCCACCGAGGACGGAGCATCTATCATGGCCGGCCCACCGTCCTCCCTTAACCCTTCTTCCTTCCTGTGACTTCTGCCAGCACCTTCTGCTCTGATACCGCTGGTGACACAAAGGGATGCTTCAGGCCTTTTCACTTTGCCCTGCCCCACCAGCATGCTCTCAACTAGCGTCAGCGTTCGCTCCTGCTCGCTCTTGAACATCTCCTCGAAGAGGGTAATCCCGAGCTCCACGTGAGGCTTCGACACCTGTTTGACCCCGTCCGTCTTCGCGACGTTGTTTGCGGATCGCAGGATGCAGGCAGTGGTGACCTCGAGGAAGTGGGCGAAGCAGATGAGAACGTCGGTGAAGAGCTGGTAGTCGAGTCTGCCGCCTTCAGCCTCCACCGGTCCCCCGTCCCCTACCTCGGGGTCGGGAGACTGTGGGTAGACCTGTTTCTCCTCAAGTTTGACAGCAGCTGCCTTCAATGCCTCGTAGGAGATCATGTGCTCGCCGACACTCATCTCGCACGCCTCCAGGTCCAGCGGAGTCTGATGGGAGTGCCTGTTGGGTTCGCCGGGCTGCGAGCACTTGACAAGCAGCGTCTTTGCCAGCTTCTCAAGCCCGTCCCTCGTTCTGGTGTCGCAGGACTCAAAAATCTTGTTTATCGTGTCCTCCATCTTATCCAGGTAGTGATGCTTGGCTGATGCTGAGAAAGGAAGGAGGTCACTGCTGCTGACCCTCACCATGGATTCGAACAAGATGCTGAGCCCCGTGTGCCAGTCCGAGACGAACTCCCAGAAGAAGTCCTCACTCCGGCAGATATCAGCTTCAAAAATTTTCTGATTCATCTCAGTCAATCCTGTTCCTGTTCCTGCTCCTGTTCCATCTCCTCCTCCATCTCCTGCTCTTGCACCACCACCACCACCTCCTCCTCCTCCTCCTCCAACCAGACTTTTTCCTCGTCCTTTTCCTAGACTTCCCGCTCCAGCAGACCGAAAGCTGGCCATTTTCTTTTTGCTAGTTTGAGGGTACTTCTGCCCGGTACGTTTCTCGGGAAAGAAGGGCAAGTGCTTTTTGGCAAACTTGTTGTAGATCCTCTCATAGCGGATGACTGTGTAGGCGAAGAAGATTGACCAGGTGAGCACAGCGTCCTGCTGCTTCAAGTCGAAGAACCTCGAGACGATGGCGATGAGAAAGTTGAGGACGAGGATGCAAGAGAAGACAGCCCACACGATGTTGAGGATCATGGCGATCTGCGAGTTCTCCGACGCGTAGATGAAGCCCCGGTTGTCCACCTCCCCGAAGGAGACCCAGAGGAGGCTCGCGACGTTGATGCCAAAGTTGTTCTGGAAGGTGAAGTTGGTGTCGGGGATGGGCTGAGCGATCTTGGCATCCTTGTAGGTCGTGTGCATCGCGGAGGAAAAGGCCAGGAGGACGATGATATACACGACAGCCCACAGGAAGACGCTTTGCATGAGGACCTTGAAGAGCAAGATCGACAGGATGCCCAGCTGCTTGAAGGGAAGGCAGAGGACGAAGAGGTAGTAGGAGTAGAGGACCAGGGAGATTGCGTTGAGATTCAGCTCGAACATCATCGAGCCAGCCAGGCGGCAGGCGAACGCTGACTTGACGCAGAGGCCGATGATGAAGCCCAGGATGGAGTTGAGATTCTTCAGGATGAACTGAATGAGGCGCTTCGTGTAGTGGTGGTGCGACTTCTTGCCCCAGCCCAAGACGCTGTTGAAGCTCGAGGGGTCCCAGTCGTGCTGCTTCCACCGGCAGCATTTGAAGCTTGCGTAGAGGAAGAGGAGGTTGCAGAAGAGGGTGAAGACTTCGAGCGCGACTGATACCTTCTCCATCCTGGAAGAGCCAGCGCTGAAGCCTTTTGTGAAGGGCGGCGGGCTGCTCGATGAGTAAGTCTTGCCGTTCCAAAAGTCCAGCTGCAGTACAGCACAGTCAAGCAGAAGGAGAGAGGAAGAGAAAATGAAGGAGGATGCGAAGAAAGATGAAGGAAGAAATGGAGGAGGTGGAGGGGAGGAGAAGGAGGAGGGGAGGAGAAGGAGGAGGAGGAGCGGAGGAGTTGGAGGAGGAGGGGAGGAGGAGGAAGGGGTAGCTGGGAGGAGCAGAAGATTGAGAGTATTGTTCAGCATGAGGACTGAAGAATGAAGTTTCAACCTCAATGCAACGGACGAAAACGTTCGCGATCAGCAGCATGTAGAACAAGAAGGCAGGGACGAGGGAGAACATCACAAAAAACCAACAGATGTGGGATTTCCACTTGTCCTCAATCAATTCCTGCATCAGCTCGTCCGCACACAGAGACTGCAGCTCATGGTTGACGTAGATCTCGATCGCGCTCCTCCAGTGGCCCTTGTGCAGTTCCGCCAGCATGTGGTTGGATTCGTCGGAATGGATGCGGAAGGTGTCGATCTGGGAGAGGGAAAGGTAGACGTGCTGCTTGTTGGAGTACTTCCACGAGTCGTATTGGAAGCAGCGTTGGCGGATGTACTGAAACATCTCCAAGTTGCCCACGCGGACAGCGAGAGTCAACCTGGGGAAGGAGTCTTGAGTCTTGATCGGGGAAGGGGAAAGGGGGGTGAAGGAGATGGTGAGGGGTAAAGGAGCATCTTCAGCAGCAGCAGCAGCAGCAGTGGTAGACTAAAGGAGGAGCAGAAGCAGGAGAGGGAGAGGGAGAGGGAGAGGGAGAGGGAGAGGGAGAGGGAGAGGGAGAGGGAGAGGGAGAGGGAGAGGGAGAGGGAGAGGGAGAGGGAGAGGGAGAGGGAGAGGGAGAGGGAGAGGGGAGGGAGAGGGGAGGGAGAGGGAGAGGGAAAAGGGAGAGGATAGTGGTGGCGGTGGTCTGTGGAACATGCGGCAGAAGCGGCAGCAGCAGAGGAGGAAGAGGAGGAGGAGGAGGAGGAGGAGAAAGAGGAGGAGGAGGAGGAGAAAGTGGAGGAGGAGGAGGAGAAAGAGGAGGAGGAGGAGGAGAAAGAGGAGGAGGAACGCCGCAATTCAACTCACGGGGTGAATCCAAATTTGTTCTTTTTGAGCATGTACTGTTCGAGCATTTCCATGTCCTTGTTCGCATCGTGGTACTGGCAGGAGTCGTGCTCGGCACTTGTTTTCTCCTTCCTACTGTGGTGCCGGATGAACAGGCAGAGCCATTCGAAGATCTCCATCCGCCCATGCAGCGCTGCCATGTGGAACGGGTTGTTGTCATACTGGTCCTGCTTGTGCGTCAGGAAAGTCCAGAGGAGGAGGAGCGTACAGTTTCGAAAACGCCCTGGGACTCATAGATGCGTTCAGCTAGCATCGAGCAGATCTTGAGGTTGCCCTTGGCAACGGCGATCATCAGCGGCGTTGTACCCCAGTAGTGAAAGAACTGCTCTGTGTCATCGTGAGAAGGACGAGGACGAGGACGACGACGAGGAGGAGCAGGAGAAGGAGAAGGATTAGAACGAAGCGGTGGTAATAGAGGAGGAGGAGAAGAAGAAAGAGGAGGAGAAGGAGGAAGAGGAGGAAGTACAAGAGGAGGAGGTGCAGGAGGAGGAGGAAGAGGAGGTGTAGGAGAAGGAGGAGGAGGAGGAGGAGGAGGAGGAGGAGGAGGTGTAGGAGGAAGAGGAGGTGTAGGAGGAGGAGGCAATCGTACTTCCTTTGTAAAAGTAGGATCGTTTGTTCTCTTGACTTGAGAGAGATGAAAATGAACAAGGTCTACAGTAGCAGGAGCAGCAGCAGTGGCAGCAGCCTGTGCAGCAGCATCCGCTGTTGTTGTCGCTCTGGAAGTTGAAAAGCAGTCAAGGCCAAGAGCAGGAGCAACAAAGAGATAGAGGCGGGGAGAGGAAAGCAAAAGCTAACTAAGATCTGATGAAAGATGAGGCGGTGAAAGAGGAGGCAGTGAAGGAGGAGTTGGGGAGGTAAGAATCAGCAGGATAAGAACGAGGAACAGATATAGCCAGGGGAGAGCAGGCGGGAGGGAGGGAGGCAGGGAGGACCTTATCAGAACTGTCAGATGGAAATATGCTGGTAGTCAGTGCGAGTCAGTCATGACGGGCATCCAAGTTGAGAGCTTACAAGGGGGGTTGCAAGTATTTGCAGGAACAATCTAAATTCTTGTCCATATGGTCGACCTTTTTCTTGCCTTCCCCAGCGTTAGCTTGCCTGTGAGCCTCCAGGAACACCCTGTGCGATGATGGGTCAAGGAAGGGAGGCAGGTTTCTCCTCGTCACTTCAGGGTCTCGAGGTCGTTGTAGAAGACGACGATGTGTATGAGCGATGCTCCTGCGGGACAAGATGAACAGGAGGAACAAGGCCTTCCGTGACTATCACCTTCGAAATCGTTGTAGACTTTTGGCTTTTGGTTGGTGATGCTTTCGATCACTTTCAAATCCTGGAGCTCAGAAGTCAAAACACGTCAGGCAAGCGGCAGAGCGAACTCACGGAGCGAAATGCTTCATAGGGAAGTTCTCTATTTTTCGAGACGAGCGTTTTTAAGATAAACCTTCCTTTCTTCAGCAGTTGCTGGCGGACTGCCGAATCATTCTCCTCGTAGGCATTCAGAAAGTAGACACAGCAGTAGATGATCAAATGGTCCAGCCTTTGGTCTTTGTTGCAGAAGGATATGATATTGTTGTCAAGGTCCTCCTCGCCGGAAGCGCTGTCATCGACATGGCAGCATGGGTCCTTTTCAGCCCAGTCCTTGCCGTTCACACGGGATACTTTCTGCTCCATGATGGTATTGATGATACTTTCCCACAGCATTCGGGGGGGGACTTCATCTTCTTCCTTGTCCCGGACTTCATCTCCTACCTTGTCCCGGACTTTATCTCCTTCCTTGTCCCGGACTTCATCTCCTTCCTTGTCCTGCTGCCTACCCTGCTCCTCCTCCTGCCCGGCCTGCCCCTCCGCCGCCATTTACCTGCTGGGCCCAGCAGCAGTTGAACCCACCAGTTCAAGCCGGCGGCCCGGTGACCCCGGCCCGGTGAACGGTCGGACCGGCTACTCCGCCGGGCCGGGCCCATTCCGGATGCTCGCCGATCCGAGGCATGGCATCGGATACGGGACGGTGCGACGGTGCCTCGGACAGTGCCGCGCGTGCCGCGGCCCGCCGGGCCCCTGGCCGTGACCCAGTCACCCGTGGACCTACTCAAAGTTTTAATCAATGATGAGACCAAAACAGAAGGATAAAGATGGACTTGAAAAAGGAGGAGTCACAGGCTGCCGTGCTTACAAGCCCGGACGGTCCCGCTTCAGTGTAGTGGTCAGTGGACTCTCAGCCTGAGTCAGTCCTACGGAACTTGGAAGGTGGCCGGGCACCGGGAGGCCCGGCGCGCACCGCAGCGGTGACTGAGACAAAAATGGACAACCCGGGTATCGATCCCGGTGCCTCTCGCATGCTAAGCGAGCGCTCTACCATCTGAGCTAGTCGCCCTTATATGTGTCGTAGACCCCTAGCTGCTAAATCCCCTTTAGCTCTCAGTCACGGTCTTGAAAGGACTTGTCTTGGCCAGTCTGGTCGCGTGACGCTCCCCGCCATGGTAACCCTACCCCCCATTTCTTTTGATCTTAGCAGGGGTGGTTAACAATAATGACACCGGAAATAGAACAAAAAGTTGCAAGAAGGTACGTGACCCACGGAAATGTTACAGTCCCGGTTTTCAATGGCCACCGCTAGAATGCTGCGAACTGCTGATGCTGATGCTGATGCTGATGCTGATGCTGCTGATGTTTATGCTGATGCTGCTGATGTTTATGCTGACGCTGACGCTGACGCTGACGCTGCTGATGCTTCTCTCCCCGGCAATGATACACGTTCCTATTCGTCCTTACTCTGATGTCTCTTCTGAAACATCGTTCCTTCCCGGATCGTCCGACATCTCTCATGTGGCTCTCCATCTTCTCATTCTCATCTACGTCTACAGGCATCATTCTTCATTTTCTCTCTATTGAGTGTACATGAGATCCAATACTGCTTTTCTGAATTTCACCCTCTGCGTTCACTGTGATAAACGTCGCCGATGTCACGTATGACCATTCCGTCCTCAGGCATGTTTTTCTGTGTACACAACCTGCTTCTGTACGGGTCGAGCAACATAGAATGTGCATCGATCTTGCTTAATCCCGACTCTGAACTCAACTTTTATTCTTGACTCATAATCCACGTTTCGTTGGGAGTCGTGAGGTTGGGGTGCTTTCGGCTGAAAGAATCAAAATCGACCCTTGTGCATAATGCAACCTCAAGTAAGTCCGGGCATGTTGACAATATCTAGATATTGAATGATGACATGCTTTATTTCCACTCTAGACCTGAAATATGAGGAAAGACACAAGGAGGATGGGGCAAGAGCGTAGACCTAACTCTCGCAACTAGCGATATGCCCACGTTGCCACAGCTCATCAGGCATTCATCCTGCTTGGCCCTCCTAGGTAATACTTGATAACTTTTCCGCCCGGAGTCTGCGGTTGAATGGCAAGTCTGCCACTTGGAGGACAGTATCTGTCATGCTTTCCTTGACGATCCTGCAGAAAGTATTGGAGATAGCAAGGCTTGGGGGAAGCAGCTGACATACCTTGATCTTGACCGTCTCTTCCACATGAGTCCTCAAATAAGACTCGTATGGCGATAGAGATACCCATGGAGGTTGCAAAACGAACTCAATGTAGCTGCGGCCCAGGAATAAGGGCGGACGATACAAGAAACATCCTGATTCTCTTACCCATTGCTGCGCTTGCCCCATCGAGAAGGTAGCTTTCTCAATACGTATTCAACTGATGCTGGATGCGACTTGACTAGATTGTACATATATCTCAGTAGCTCTTTTCGTCCACCGCTTTCCTGGACACTCTGTGAATGTACGAGATGCGCAAACTGTGACTCACTTCTCCGAAGTCGTCAGTGAATAGACAGACAATCAGCCCGCCCTTATCAGCATAGCTGCGCTCGAAAGACGCTTGCCAATCGGCACGTAGAGTAGCGGATAGCCTCGTTAACAACTCCTGTTGGAAATCAATCAGACTTAGATTCTATCGTTACATGTTTACATGTTGTAATGACTTGTGCTTGTGCGTTTCTCTGCTTGCATTCTGCCTTCCTCCTGGCACAAACTGCTTCTTCGATGGTGAAAATTGCTGGAGAAAGATCACGAGCAGTGAGAACTTCGACTACAGCATGCAGCATAACACGTACAGATGTGGAAGCAGAAGAGGCCGAGTGGAAAGTCTCTATTCGGGACTGATACGGTTCTGATTCATATCTGAAGGGTTCTGTTTAACTTGTGCACAAGGGTTCGCACTGCAAGGCAAATCACCTGAAGTGCGTAAACGATCCTTGCTTGTCCAAAGTCACCGGCACCCCTGTCTTCATCGACTTCGGCCCGATTATCTTTGCTTCCTTTGCCGCTCGTTCTGCAGCTCGCTGCTGGCGCTCGAAGTCATAGTCGTTGGGGATGTGCGCGAAGGAAGAGAAAGTCTTGGGGGCGATAGTATGCCTCCTCGGTGAGAGTGTGCCCTCAACGGTACCCAAAAGCTTCTTGCGCATTTCACTCTGCCGTGGAGAAACAGAGTCCATGTTGTATATTGCATATCCCTGAAGTGAAGACTCTGTTTGCCACGGCTTGGCAGCTCTTGTTGGTTTCTCACTCCTGATTTCCTCTATCATGCCAGCCTTGAGTTTTGCCGGGAGCTTTCTGAGCTGGACGAAAGACGTGGGCAGGAACGCATACCGGACCACATCTTCCTCATACACACCAAAGTATCGCTCCGCGCTCTTTGTATTCCTCAGATACCCTGGAAGCTCCTTTTTGGACGCCATCTCAGGCAATGACCCGAGCTAGTGCCAACAGCACCCTTGTTTCCTCAAGCATCTCTGGCCCCTATCGCAGCCTCAGCACGAGCCCACCTGTCCATCTCAGGTGGTGTGAAGGCCTCTTCCTGGCAGCTCCCAGCTCCTCCTCGTCCGAGCATCAAGGTCCTTCCCATCCTCCCCGCCCTCCACGTCCTCCGCTCCTCCTCACTTTCGCTCAACAGACGGCAGTTGAGCCGTTACACTGCGTTACACTCAACCGGCGGCCGGTAGGTAAGATTGAATCGATTTGAATCAGGAGAGCATCGATTCAAACCAAGGGCAGGCTCGGGGGACGCATGGCAGGTGTCGGGAGGCAGGGAGGAGAGGAGGGGGGAAGACAAGAGAGCGGGAGGAGGAGGGGGCGGGGAGCACATACATAGAGGGAGCAGTGAGCGAGAGACGTCCTAGTGCCGTCCCGGCCCGTCTCTTGCCTCGGCTCGCGCTCAGAAGGGGAGGCGCTGCCAGGTTCCATTGCATCGCCGGACAGCTGGCCTTGTCGCCTCTGACGCAGGGGAGGCGGAGGCAGAGGGAGCAAGAGAGTCTGCTGTGCATACGTTCGAACATGCTGCAGCCGAACGGAACGGGGGGGAGACAGCTCCTGAATCGCAGCAAGCGGTACCTGATGGCCTTGGACCATGAACGAGCTCTTCGCTCGCCGCTGCATCTTCAGCGAGGGAAGGAGTCGGAAGCTAAGTTGTCATTCGGAGCTCCCAGCGCACAGAGCTCTTCTTTCCTGTCTCAGGCAAACTGGCAAACGTTGAGAAGCCTCGGCGCCCATTGGACGTGTCGGTCCCTCAGTTTTGCAGGACCCTGCCTCTTGCCAGGGGCAGCGAACAGGAGGAATGCCTCCTCTGTTGAAGTTTCCGAAGTTTCTGTCAAGGATTTGAAGCTGTCTCGCCTTTGGAAGTCGAGACAGATAGATGAGTTCATCCAAGTATGCTAGTATGCCTCCTGTTTGCCCCTTGGTGACCTCGTGGCCTCGACAGGAATTTGAATCGCTGGCGATGTCAGAGGGAGTTGGTCAGAACAGTCAGAACATGGCGATACGAGCATATGGGATGAAGAAGAATGTGTCAGCTGCGAAGCGAGTGTTCGACAAGCTTATTGCCCGGCAGAAGGTCTGAGGTGGGAGAGGAGGGAGACGAAGGTTCACAACTCACGACAGGCGGACGTTTACAGCTACGGAGCCATGGTTTCGGCTCTCTGCAGTGTTGAGCGGCTGAATGATGCGTATGAGCTGATCCAGAGCATGTAAGATCCTCCTTGCGCTTGCGCGCGATGAGATGGATGATGGGACGTTGGCCAGGAGAGGATCCAACGTGAGGCCGAACCTGATTGTGTACAATACTCTCTTTCACGCGGCGATCACAAAAGGTTTGTTTACCCTGCACATGCTTTGCGCATGTCGTGTAATGTCTTGGTAAGGGAAACAAATCATGGCGCAAAAGCTAAGGGAGGAGATTGAAAGTTTGCAGCTGGGAAGCAGCGAGATGTTTCTAATCGGACTCCTGAGACTTGTGAACCAGTCCGGCTTCCTCGATGTTCGCTGACAGCTTCTGATAGGAGAGCGTATCGGGGAGCAAACAACGATTGCAGCAAGTGTGGAAACAAGAAATCAAAGCTATCTACTCTTCGAACCAGGTGATACCATTGCAACATGTCCGTTCTCACACTCACGTATGACGGACACAGCACGTGGGGTTTCCAGCGCTGGCCTCGTACTGTAATGCACTGAACAAGTCCGTTGCAGCAGCTGCCAGTGTTGCTCCTGACATGCTGTGCTTGAACAGGCTTGATTGCCCGGAGCTCGCTGTTCCTCTACTCGAAGTGATGCCGAATAGATGTTTGTTGTGCATACTTACGAAGACTGTGGCACAGGTACTCTGCAACAAGAAGCTGTTCCCGATGACGTACGAAGACGCACTGACTGTTATCGACGGTACGTTGAAGTCCCTACATCTAAGAGCTGTGACTTGCGAGGAAACAGACGACATGGCGCAAAAGTTTGTTGCCGACGGGAACAACGGAGGCCCTGGTGAGATCAGCGCGGCTCCGCATGACAAGCACATCCGTGCGGCCTTTGATGCCACGATCTCTGCTCTCTGGTAAGTAGAAGAGGTCGCGGGCCGGAAGGTGGTGATGGGGGGGCATGTGCAGCCGGAGAAGAGACATCGCAAGGGTGAATCAAGTCGTTGAGACCATGGTGAACTGCAAGGTGGAGCCGAGGTATAATCTTCGGTCACTTCCTTGTCCTGACCTCTCTATCACGCTTCTCCTCCTCTCCCATCGTCTCCTTTCTCAACTCCGTGCTGCAGGGCAACCTGTTCCCTATCATCCTCTTACCTCCTGACTGATCCCTTGCGCGATCTTCGCTTCCCAGCATGGGACTTGTTCCCTCTCCCTTATTCTCCAAACTCTGCTTTGATTTTAACTTGATTCTTGCCTCTGCCAGCTCGTCTACCATCGCTGCTCTTGCAAGGATCATGCCGCTGGATTCGACAGGGTAATCCTCCTCTCCTTCGTGACCTAGTTGACTCACCAGCACTCCTCCTTTTCAGGGAAATCCTCGCCGTCAACCATCAGGTTTGCTTTTTCACGTTCAATCCTGACAGACTGATGGCATCTTCACCAGCATACGAAGGGGGCCAATCAATTGAATCTCACGTTGATCAGGTGGAAGCAACCTTTCAGTCGGCCCTTGCGTTGTCTAACAAGCTTGCTCACAGAAATTTTTCCAAACATCTGTTCAACAACGTTGAAGCTCGGAACGCAATGCTGTCCAGGGCTGCAAGCAGCAGCGTCACAGAACTGGAGTTGTTGTGGCAGAAGCTCCTGCAGGACAGCTGGGAGGTGAAGTTATTTTCACGTTGCTCATGTGGCGCCTGTGGAGATTGAACCTCATCTGCAGCCTGACATTTGTAGTTTCAACATCCTCCTTGCAACCTACGCCCGGTAAGATGTTTGAAGTTGTTGTTTGATGCACCTTCACTCACGTGGCACCCTTAGCCTTCGCGATGTTGAGAGGGCATGGATGACTTTCGAGCTGATTAAAGAGAAGTGAGCTTGCTGTTGCAGAGAAGGAAGTTGGTGCTGTCCTGACTATTTTTCTCGATCACAGACGACTTGTTCCCACTGAGAGCACGTGCGTATCGATGATCGTTGCTCATTCAAAACTCAAGGTCCGGCCTCATGCATTCCATGAGGAGAGGTTGACTGATGACCATGACAGAGACAAGATCAAGCCGCGTTTCGCGTCGTGGAGGTTCTTAATGTTGAAGATCTGGTTTCCTCCCTCACCTTGTTTGGTTGAACGCAACAGTTTGTCCAAGAGATGAAGAGGATGAAGATCGATCACACTGTTAAAACTGCCGCGGCCCTCATCCGGGTTTACGGTCAACTCGGACTCTGCGATCAAGCGTTGATGGTGTGGACCTGGAGATCTCGACTGCTGGTTGAGATGTTATGACGCCACCTCTTTGAAGGTCTTGGATGAGTTGAAGAAATTGGACATCGAGCCGAACATCAAGTGATTTCTCCAGCTCTTGTCTTATTCCTTCCTTTCTCACCTTTGATTCCCAGCTCCCACAACGCGATGATGAATGGATTCGTCGACTCACAGGAGGTTGTGATGACGTGTCACCCCTAGAGGCTGACGACACCTCAGGGAGCTGAGATGACTTTGAACTATTTCATCCGCATGATTGGCGAGGGTAAGTCGGATGAGATAGCGACAAAGATGGAGATGGAGATGGAGATGGAGATGGAGATGGAGATGGAGATGGAGATGGAGATGGAGATGGAGGATAGATACTAGAAATGAGAGCAAGAATGAGAGGAGGTGAGCTCAATAGATGCTTGCTTGTGGTGTCACCCGGAGAAGAAAGAAAAGAGATTTGAGGGCAGGAGGCTGGGTGGCAGGGGAGTAATTTCTCTGCAGGTGTACAACCTGATCGACACTCGTACAACATTCTCATCTCTGCGTGCTCGGAGCATGGTGGGGGGGGTGACAGGAAGGGAGCTGGCTCTCTTGACGTGTCACTGCAGAAGAGTTCTTCGGGCTAGCTCAATTCTTTCTTGCCTTCATGATCAACTCTGGTCTCAAACCAGAGGTGAGAGTTATTCTGTCATTCAATGCTTTGCTCCCTTCCAGCCAAAGTCCTTCGCTCCCTGTCTCTCCCCCGCTAAAAGCCTCATTCCTGCCTTTTCTGTTGCTTGCCCTATCCCTTGATCTCCACTTCTTCCAGTCATTTCTTTCCATTCCTGTGCGGTTGTATCAATCCTGTTTGGCTCCAACTCCTCCCCCCCACCCCAACCTCTCCGTCTCTCCTCCTCTTACCCCATCTCGTGCTCCATCTCCTTTCCTTTCCTCGCTCACCGCCTCAATCAGGCCGATTCCTTTAACAGTGCGATACGAGTCGCGCTTCTTCACTCAGGTCTGGCACGTCACTCATGTCATGCCTGCCATCCTGATGCGGTTGCGGTCAGACCAACAGGCTGCTTTCGTGCACACCAAGTACATCTTGGAAGATATGATCAGCTCGCAAGTGATAGCGGACGAGAACACGTTCAAGACCATCCTCAAGGTCGTCAGCAACATGGCGCAGCTCTCAGGACAGGTAATGGTTGATTTGCTTCATCGCTGCCATCACCATCGACATAATCCTCGATTCATTCATCCTCGACATAATCTTCTACGTCGTCATCATCTCCAACTTCATCACCACCACCACCACCATCGTCGTCATCGTCATCACCATCATCATCATCATCACCACCACCACCACCACTATCATCATCACCATCCTCATCATTGTCATCATCATCGTCATCATCATGCTTTCTTGTGAGGTTTGCTGATGCAGAGCATGCGCGTCCTCTTCGAGCTCTGCTTCAAAGCTGGATCGAGACCACACGTAATATCATCCCTCCCGCTGGCCTCGTTCCCCCCTCTCCTCTCATGCTCTCTCCCCCCACCTTCCCCTCTTTCGCTGCCTCTCCTCGTCTCTTCCCTCTCATGCTCCTCCTTCAGCACCGTCTCCTCGAGGATGTCATCCACACGTGGCTGGAGGACGCGAAGCAAAAGGAGGTGAATGCCGACTGTGCTGCCGACTGTGCTGCCTTGAGGAGCTGGTGGAGGTGACGGTGCTCTAGGGCGTTGGCCTCTTCGTCCTCGGCATCAAGTTCGAGATCTTCACATATCAGAAGGCTCTCAAGCTTGAGGTTCCGGGACTCCTTACCTTCCCCTGCTCACCCTCCTGCCAGGAGAACATCCGCAACACTCTCTTAGAGAATTACACCGAGGTCCTGCCCTCGTGCTTCCCTCCCCCCCCCCCCCCCCTTCGGTGACTGCTGCTCTACAGAACTCCAAGCTTCTCCTTCAAGACCTCCAGGGCATCCGTCAGTTCCTCCTCTCCAAGAACCCTCCCTTCTCCATCGATTCCCGGCAATGACCTCGAAAGAATTTTCATTAGCGCAGGCTGCTAGCTTAGTAAAGCCCGGAGTCGCCCGGCTGTACTGTGACTCTGAGTGCCACGACTGTTCGACTCTTCCGCGACGAGTTCTGATGAGATGGTGACTGGGCTATGACTCAGTGACTCCCCGGCCCCAGCCTACTAACTAAGTTAACCGGCGCCGCGGCCAGCAGCCTCTATCGAGTATGGACTCGTCAGCTGCGCCGCCGGCTAAGCCTGGCCCCCCAGCCTGGCTTGCCGCAGTGCCCCGGCAGCCCGGCCCGCCCTCCGAGTCACCCGGCGCCGGGCCAGCCTGCCGGCCCCTGCCGCGCGGCGGCGGAGCGGACATCGGAGCGTCTCAGTACGGTGCCTGCGGTGCCAGGCAGGATTGAGGGTGCGGGCCAACCCCTAAATTCCAGAGCTACCACTCCTGCGACCACTACCACCACCATTGCCATGGCGATCACCACACTAGAGGGAGAAGAAGCTCAAGTCAGAGAGTGACCAACTGCCAGCCCTCTCGTCTTCACTCCCTTGTCCTCTTGCTACCTCTTGTCTTCTCTCTGCTGCTGTCAAGGATGGGGTGGGGTGGGGGAGAGGAGCACTTTGTGAAGCGCAGTCGGAGAGCACTTGATGATTTGAGAGGATCTTGACTTTGATGACAGGAGCGGATTCGATCACCTTGGAGGATCATGCGGCAGATCAGAGCCATCGGCCTTGAGATTCTGCCTCTCGTTATCCTGCTGAGTCAACTAGACAGCCAAATCGCCAGCGTAGACTCGCTATCCTCCTGCCACCGCCATCATCCTCTTGCTCGCAGATTCTCTCTCCATGCTCTTCGTGGGGGACTGGGGCGTTCTGAAGCAGCAGATGATGACGAGGAATTAAGCTCGGAGTCGGAGAAGGGAAATGACGGAGATTGGGCTGACAACAACGCTGAGGGCAAGGGCAAGGGCAAGGGCAAGGGCAAGGCTGCTGCAAAACCGAGAGGAGCAGGTACATCCTAGGTGCTGTACCTGCATTCCTGAATCTCTCCACTCTCATCCAGCCAAAGCAAGGGGGAGAGGAAGAGGTGGAAAGAAATCTGTTGCGTCCTCAAGATCGCAAGGGGAGGAAGCAGTCGGCACAGAAGATGAGGCGAAGGAAGCATCGGATGGTGGAGCAAACGAGATGTCAGCTGACAAGAAAGCTGCCTCTGCAAGATCTTCAAAGAAGGTGGCATGCATCCATAAGAGATTTGTTCGCCATGCTGATTATCCACAGACCGATCTGCAGAGCAAGCAGTGGGCCAAGGACGCCATTGCAGCAACTGCCGGCTTCGAGTACGTCAGGAGGTCAGGACTGAGCCTGGACTGTGCATGATGTGACATGAGCTGCTTAGAACTTTACCTAACCTTCCGCCAAGCTCCATCCCGAACAAGGACGAAGACCCGTAAGTCTACAGGAGAGCGTCCTTGTGCGGCTGAGAGGTTCTCCAGGCGATTGCTCCCAGTGAGACCGAAAGGGCTGCGAAAAGTCTGGCAGAAGGTTGAGAAATGCGAGGAAGGGACGGCAGGAGCCAGGCTTTCTGGTCTTTCAGGTCATTCGCTCAGCAAGTGCGGGCTGAGGGAAAGTGCCTGACGTCGTGGATCAGTTGCCAGCGCAAACGTGGAGGAGCCGAACTCACCGAAAAGCTCCAACGAGAAGTTGTCTGGGAAGAAGCAGGTCGAAGAGCAGCGGACTGCTCACAGACCCATGATGTGCCTGGTGACAGGTGAAGCATGTGGTGAGAATGTCGGGGCTAAGACGACAAGTACAAGACAACTCGTTCACCCTCCACCCTTATGCAAACAGCAGCGCCCTCCCAGGTGATACCAAGCACTTGCTGCTTCCTCTAGCTTACATGCTGTATAGCAGAGGTGGATCATATTTCAGCGCCAACAGCACGAACATCCAATGCTCCGGCCAAGAGTGCAGAATCGTCTGAAGAACTGCCCAACGAGGATGCTGCTGCAGGTGGGGAGGCAAGCGAGGAAGGAATGAAGGACAGCGGCGATGATGTCAAGTCTGAAGGTGGTCAAGCTGAAGTCTCTGACTAACTAGAGCAGACGATATGTTAGTGGGAGGGTCCCAAGGTGCTGTGTGCGCAATGTAAAGAAGAATTTAATAAACTTAAAAGTCTTGGTGTAGAGAGAAAAAATACGATGAAGATTCGAAGATAAGAGAGAAGGGGGGAGGGGTGGGGGGTCAAAAAGAATAAAGGCATCGCTGCACACCTCGTGTTGTGGAACAAACGTCACCCTAGATCGAAGACCAGGCTGAATCCCCAAGAAAAGTCGTAGCGAGGCCACGAGTGCGGGTTAATAAAAAAAACAGCTCATTCGTTCTTCTCATCCGGGTCCTTCCTGAAGGAAGCTTCTAGCAGTCGCAGCTGGAGTGTGAAGCCTGCGTTCGGAGCCGCTGCTGGATGCTTGATGCGTATCCTTCTCATGCTCTCGTCGTAGGAGATGCACTCCTTCCTCATGAGATAGTGAGCAACCAGCGCAACCGATCGCGATATCCCGCTGGCACAGTGCACCAGCACTGCCCCTGCGGGAGAATGCTGATACGCGCTCTCGATGAAATCCCAGCTGAGCCGGCATGCCTCGCTCAGGTCCGTTTTTTCCGTGTCTGTGATAGGGCAGGTGAAGTACTGGATCGAGGGAAAAGGGCTGCTCCCATCGCGGGAGGCGTTCACGATGTACTTGATGTTCAGAGAGGAAACGAGATCCCAGTTTGTTGCTTGAGCGCGGTTGCCGATGAAAAGCTTGCCCTCCAAGATCTGCAACATTGGGTCAGAAAAACGCATGTAAGAATCTCGTCTCTGCTCACCTCTGCTGGTTGTGCGTCTTTCGGCTCCTGTATGCTGATTCCCCATTTTTTCCCCTTGCTCCTTGATTTCTGCATCCTCGGCGGAGAACTGCTCATCCAGTCTTGATACTCAAAGCAGGATTGAATGGCACGGGACTCGACTTGGCAAACAGCCATTACCTCAGCCAGACTCCCTAAGCGCAAATGGGCATGCGGCCCTGAGGACAGAATTTCCACAACAAGCTTATACCCTCCTCAAATATTTATCATGCAAGTCCGTGACACCAATCTCAGATCCAATCCAGAACCAGATCAGGAAAGCGTTGAACGACCAGTACTTCTGATTACGTAACCTGAAAACAAACAATCCAGCAGCGCTCAGGACGGCAGAGATTTGCTCCAATGATTCTTGGAGATGGAATTCGAGCTTGAATCGGTTCAAAGGTCGATTCTTCTTAGCCAAGGAAGAAACGAAGAATGAAGAATTAGAATCGAAAGAGTTGATTCAAGACGAGTATGCGATCGCTGATAGAGAATCGTGACGAGAACAAGCGAGCGGAAGCAACGACAGGGTAGAATCGCTCGGTCTCCGAGGAGAAGGAAAGAGGAGGGGAGGGGAGGGGGAGGGGGAGGAGAGAAGGGGAGGTTGTTGCAAGATCAGATCACCACGGGCATTACGAGTGAAGGGGACGGAGCGATTTGCAAGTCTGGCCTCGTGAGTATCTAAGGTGGGGTGGGGGTACTGGACCGAGGGGTAACCGAAAAAAGAGGGTGGGGTTATCAAGTACGGGGTACTTTGTGTCATCACCTGTGAGGAAAAAGGGGGTGATATTTCGTAAGGTAGGATAAGCCGGTCACGTCGGAAGGGGGGTACTGGGAAGTCCGAATTATCGAGCTAAAAGGGATGAAGGGACGTGGGCATAGGAGGGGTGGGGTGACAAAATTAGTCCCTAATGGGTGGTGAGGGTACCTATACCACCCCTGTGTTGAAAGATAATTCTATAGAGGTAGCGTTCTGAGTGTTTTACATGTGAGAAAACAAGGGGTGCTATTGGACCGGTACCCCTCTTTTACACCATGGGGTCCGTTCATATGGGGTGTCAAAACGCATCTGTTATCGAACGAGGGTGGGGTGGTTGCTCCCAAAATACCAGATGGGATTGTACCTGAAAATATCTCAAAACAGTTATAAAAATGCAACTCTTCGACTAAAATCTATTTACATCGTCTACGATAATCACCGAACATAGCTACTTTCCTTCATTTTAGAGATTTATAACTCGAAGCTCCAGATAACTTGGTACAAGAAAAGTGTAGAGAGATCATTATCTTGATTTTAAAATAAATTTCTTTAATGAAAATTGGTACCGCTCGATGTCCACCCCACAATCTGAGGGAAACTTTTGGGGTACACATGACAAACAAAAGGTTGAATCAAAAAAGTATATTCATTTTTATTTCATTATTACTGGAATCGGCCGGGCCCGTGTCTGTCACGGCACCTGCCGGGCCCGGGCCGGGTCACTACTGAGATGTACCAACGCTTTAAAATGCTTCCATGCGTTCCATTTGTCCGTTATCATCGTTTTTATCGTTAAGATTTCATAACGGAGGAAAAAAAGAGTCTGTGTGTGGTGGGTACTGATTTCATGCATGGTACCTCTGATGGAGATGTAGATTTCAATGAAATGGTAGGGTAGTGAATAGTGCAAAGGGGGCATATACGCTGTAATTTAATAATGATATCAATAGTAAAATAGCGAGATCTAGCTGCAAAAGAAAAGGGAAATTTATCTTCTGGGGTAGGGTTACAAACGAGAGGGTAGGGTATATGTAGAATGAGATCAGGGGTGGGGTCCTGCATGCGTGAGATGGCGGGAGCTGTGCTCTGCGACTAGGGAGGGGATAAAGGCAAGGAGCGCGAGAGATCGTGGGCTCTGGACAAGAGGAGGAGGATTTCATGAGCAAATGTTTTAATCGAGAGAGGACAAGATGATTTTAAGAGATGTGAGAAGGAAGGTCACGGAGCTCGAAAGCTGATGGTGGTTGACGAAAAGATACTAGGAGATTGCGGCTTTTAGATCCGTTTTGTCTAGTTTTTTTGAACAGCATTCTTTGTTGCTTTGTTGCAATCATTGTACTACAACAATATCTTCAGTCTATACTGTTTAGAACATCTGTTTGCATCCTAATTGGGGAAGATGCATCAACCTTCCACCGAGGAAATATGATGCTAAAATATGATGAAGTTGATCCGAGAATCTTGAATCTTCTTTCATATTGCAAGAATTGAACTGTCATGATTCCTGGTTTCATATTTGAATCTCTGCATGTCTCTGTCTCTCTATAGTATTTATGTGCATGATGCTATCGCATTCTCGCACTTCGCTACTAGCTTCCTCTCACCTCAGTTTCCCCTGCACTTGCGCAAAGGAGTAGAAAACAAAATCATTTGTACATAATCCTGCTCAGATTTCGTGTTTCTTTACGTGTAGAATGAATGTGGATAACATCTAATTTGGATCACTCAATCTGGCTTGCTTGCTACATTGTGATCACTTTTGTTTTCCAGGATCTCTCTTGTTTCTAGCCGCCAGTACGCTGTTGCGAGTTTCGATTCTTCTGCACGATGCCTCCCAAAGCTTCCAAGAAGGAAGTTGCCAAAGCACAAAAGAAGGTCATTGAGGACAAGACCTTCGGTTTGAAGAACAAGAACAAATCCAAAGTTGTCCAGAATTTCGTTCAGCAAGTTACCCAAAACGCGAAACGTGCAGGTTTGTCAAAGGATGAGGCCGTGCGGAAAGAGAAGGAGAAAGAAGAGAGAACGAACAGAAAGGCTGAAAAGGAGGCGAGAGATGCCGAGCTTCGAATGCTTTTCGCCCCAGCTGTGAAGAAGAAGGAGAAGGAAGCTGCTGTTGCGAAGAAAGATGAAGCTCCCAAGGAGGAGGAGACCGAGATGATTTCTGCCCAGGATGCCTACAATGAGGCCAAGAGAAACGAAGATCTCGCCAAGGCCGAAGCCGTTCTTGGAGAGCAGAAGGATGATGACATATACGATGCCATCGAGCGCGAGAGAGCCGAACTGAGGAAGCGAGGAAATTTAACACCTGTAACCTACGACAACTTCGTGGCGTGGAAAGCACGAAAGGCAGAAGAAAGGAAGCAGAAGGATATTGCAGAGGCCAAGAAGATGCTCGCAGCTGCAAAGCAGATCAAAGGGAAGAGTGGGAAAGACCTGTTCAATCAGCTTGCGGCAGCGAATGCGGATCTGTTCTTGGATGATGATGAGGCTGATGACGATTGGATGATAAGGGAGAAAGATTCTGATGATGAGGAAGAGGTTTACGACATTCAAGTCACTGGAACTTCCTTCTCATTGCAAAAGGTCAACAAGGGTGGGCCAAGCGCACAGGCAGAGTCAAAGGAGGTGAGATCCCTTGATCAAGTTGAATTTCAAACCCCTTCAACCACTCTGCTTCCCTTCGTCCCGTTTTTAACTTTCTCAACTCTTCTTTCCTGTCCTCTTGTTCCTTCTACTCAACTCTGCTTGCCTGTCCTTATGCTTATCCTGAAGAACTTATGTGTTCAGAGTATGTTGCATTTCAACAGATTGAGAATTTTGTCAGGATCAAAAGGACAACGCTACTGCTGGTGAAACAGAGTTGGCTGCTGCAGTTGACGCATCGTTGTTCCTCGATGAAGACGTGGATTTGCCCTCTGACGACGACTGAGCAGAATCCATTATCAGTGCAGTGAATAAATTGTGAAAAGATCGGCAAGTATGGTCAGCATCTCTTAACTGTTTTTGATTTGAGCAATCTCCTTTTGATTTGGAGGCATGCTTCGATACAAGACGCAGACTTTCAACATGTGTTTGAACTGTTTCATTCATTCCTTGTGTATTTCTACAAAATCTTAAATTCACATGCAAGCTATTTCAGCTTTTCACCATTAAAATTTCTTGATCAATTTCTCGAGCTGGGCATTCAGCTTGGCAGGAAAAATCGATCTTGCGTGCTGCCTCTTCCTAACGGCATTGATCACGTTCTGCAGCAAGACGTCCTTGCTCCCTTCAGACCGGATTGCCATAGATTTCTTCCCTGTCAAGCCTTGTTCTTAAACCGCACGAAACAGGGGCGGTACTCCCTCATTGAGACCGCTCGTGTGCCTGAATCGTGTACAACTGGATCTGTAGTCTTGCGCTGATCTGAACTCAACGTCAAGTCGACGGAGTTTGCTTGTGCCTCCAGACCGTCCTGGTGTGGTATGCCAAGTCCAACTTGATGACTTTTTCTTTCTGACAATCTGGTTGCGGATGCATTACTTGAATCTCTTCCCTGAAAGAAGATCTCGCCGATGTAGCTTCCATGATGACTTGAATCTTCTTCTTGAAATAATTTGTCCATGATCTCGTTTCACTGCTTCGTAGATACCTTTTCCCTCTCTTATTTCTCTCACAAAAGCCCTTTCCACAACGTCGACAATCCTTTCTTGCAAGACCTGACCTGACCTGACCTGACCTGACCTGACCTGACCTGACCTGACCTGACCTGACCTGACCTGACCTGACCTGACCTGACCTGACCTCTGCTCGGCTGTCCTCAGCTGTCCTGAGCAGGCCTTGCTCACCTCACAGCCCTTTTCCTGACCTCCCCCCTCTTCGGGTCGGATCGTGACGACCCTTTGTCCTGTGGTAAATTAAAGTCATCGAGCATTGCTACAGTGATGTAGTAAATATCATCTACCAGTCATCTGGATGACTCAATGTCATGGCCAGGTACCCTAAGCTGTCTGGGTCCTAGGGCTCCTAGGTCACCGGGAATAGCATTAGAAACGTTGACATGGCTGATCATGGTCTTGACATGGACCGCTGGATTTTAAGCACACAGTCATGATACCATATGCGGTTCTGAAGTCAGCAGTTTCTATGTTGCTTGTCAAGACCTATAGGTCTGAGGGAACCCTTGTTTGCCTTGAGGAGAGCCGTCTAAATTCTGACCTTGACTGGGCGACATCCTGCTATGAAGGGGTCAAAGTGTAGTAAATACGGTTGAAGCGATAGCCGATGTTTCATAAAGGGTCACAGTGTCATCGTTCCATCCAAAGAAGAGCTATTCAATTCTTACCTATGGAGTCAGCTGCCAAGAGATCAGATAACAAGGCGTTTCATGGATAACCCCCAAATTAAAAAAAGATTGTAACAGGTATGATGACAGTCTGCGTCAGCGGCTGACTGCGACCCCTCGGCTGCCTCCGCACCCCTATATATACAGCGGAGCTCCCAGTTTTCCAGCACCTTTCACATCCTCTCCAACTTCAACCCCCTCCTTCGATCCTTCACGTACCTAAACTTCACATTCTCCTCTGTTACTGCCAGACATGTCAGCGATTTCCCTTCATCAAGAGTCTTCACACAACTCCGATGAGTTCCTCATGGAAGACGACCTCTTCTTCTCCGGCAGAGACTCATGGGGTCGAGAGCGGTCCTCTCAGTTGGACAAGAACTTTGACTTAGACGGAGGAGCTCAAGTCAGCCATGGACGCAAGTACATCTACATCATTGAAGAGAGCATGGTTTTGTCATCTTGCTTCAAGCTGAGGGATGCCGAGTTGCTCCCAGAATCCAGAAAAATTCTCTGCCACGGACCCGAAGGAATGCTCCTTTCGAACGTCACGGCTTCCCTGAGGAAGAGTAGGAAAATGTAGAAAATGCGCAAGAAAATGTGTATCATAGCATTGTTTCAATAAACCCATGGATACCAAAGACGACTGCATCAATGTATCTTTGATTCATTTCTTCATAATTCAATTTATGAGCCACACGAATTTCTGAGGCGAAAAAACTTCGCTAGCAAGCTTAATGTAATGATAGGAATCTATTCTCAGAATGCTCACTCGGATGAAATGAATTCTTTGTTGAGGACCAAGAAATTTATTGAATTTTCGTCTGTATCGGGAAATTAGCGACGGATTTCTATCGAATACCCCCCAAGAACGCTGCACAAGCAGTCAGTTGAGGGTTTGCGAGGTGGGTGAGGTTGCTGACTCATTCCTTTGAGCATTACTCCGTTGCCTGATGTGTACATTACGATACGATGATTTTCTTTTTTACTCTGATGTAGTATTCCGATTTCGCACCATTTTCTCACACCTCCTATGTAGATTGAACTCAATATTTTCAGCATCACTCTTGTTTAATTTTTCTACGATTGTTTGATTAGTAATGCCATCTCTACAAAAGAATAATTTCTCATTGAAAATGATGCTTTAGATTACATTATTCGTTGAAGATGACGCTTTCAAGTGTACTTGGATTCAAGATTCTCAGTTATTTGCCTAAATCTTCATTCACAATAAAGTTCATCAAAATTACAAGGGTCCTCTCCACCAGCCCATCCCCCTCCAAGATATCCGGTACCATCATCCTCTCCATGGCCATCTTGTAAGTATATATCCTGGAGCGAGTGGGCACAATCAGCTCAAGAAGAAGCATTTGATGGTGTTTATGGAACAAACACAGCAGAGGTGGTTGACGGATTGGAGCAGAGTGTTCGAAGGATGAGAGCTAAAACGACAGTGCGACAGCAAGCTCACCAGCATCGTCGTCTTCGTGGGCGCTTTCTCCACGAGCCTCCTCAAGAGCGAGAACATAGTCCACCTTGCCGACCTCCAGACGCGAGCAGGTATGAGGGGTCACCTCGATATGGAAATAGGGGGTAGGGTCCTTGTTACGTCGATGTTCAACCATAATCGCATCTCCGGTATTCTTTGCTTTGCTGCCTTTCAACTGATTCTATTTAGGATACTGAGGCGATGCGACTCAACTAGGCGAGATTACGATGAAGAGGCGGGCCCACGGCTTCTGTTGGAAGGTCTGATAACAAGTATGAAAATGGGGGGTGGGGGTAGTGCCTTTGTGTCTTAAGGCCATGATGATCTCGAAGCCCGGGATGCTTGCAGTCTTGATGGCAGCGAATGCGCTGGCTTTCTCCCCAGGCTCCTCTTTCATGCACAACGCCATCACTCCTGCAGCAAGAGCACGGCTCTGGCCTACCGGAGTCAGGAGGAGCCTCTCCTGCGGCCCTCGCTTCCTGATGGTCGCCCAGGAAGACTCTGCGTTGAGCTCGGCGAGGAGGAAGTTCACCATTGGGAGCTTCTCCGCCGCTGCACTCGCCACGTTTGGTCCTCCTGCAAGAAATGCCATGGCAGAGAGCCAAGTGGCCGCTGCTGTCGAGTTCAACCAGCTGGGCGGGGACTTACCATGCTGCAAGGTACTCACCGGGATGTGGCAACTGTCAGGTGCGCATGGGTACAGACCGGACAAGGTGAAGACGGTGGAAGCCATGAAGAAACATGTTGAAGCTGGCTTCACCACCTTCGATCTTGCCGACCATTATGGAAATGCAGAGCTCATGACGGCCCTCTTCCGGAAAGAGCACCCTGAGCTCTGGGCGAAGTCTCAGTTCTATACCAAGTGGGTCCCGATGCCCGGCGACATGAAACGAAGTGTGGTTGAGAAGGCTGTCAACGAGCGGTTGAAGAGAATGGGCACGGAAAAGCTTGATCTCCTTCAATTTCATTGGTGGGATTACGGGAGCAAGAACCAGTACATGGAAGCCCTCAAGCACATGCAGGACATGGTGGATGAAGGGAAGATCAATCACCTCGCCCTCACGAATTTCGACACGCAGAACTTGGAGTCGATTGTGAATGGGGGGATCAAGATCGTCTCGAATCAGGTGCAGTACAGCATCATCGATCAGCGACCACAGAAGTTCATGGCTCCTTTCTGCTCTAAGAATGATATCAAGTTGCTCGCATACGGCACGGTTTGCGGAGGTTTCCTGACAGATAAATATGTCGGCCACAAGAAACTGAAGAACGAAGATTTCGACACGGTCTCTAAGCAGAAGTATTACAACATGATCCGCGCTTGGGGCGGCTGGGATCTGTTTCAGGTCGTCGAGCACACCCCAAGGGATCATCCTGGGTTAAGTTGTCTTGCAGGAACTTCTTGCCAAGATGAAGATCGTTGCTGACAAGCATGGCGTCTCGGTTGCTAACGTGGCTCAAAGGTATTTGAATTGACCTTGCAATGTCTGGTCGGATCACAAGTGAGCAGATGGGTCATCGACCAGCCCTCCACGGGAGGAGCGATCGTCGGAGCTCGCCTGGGGCTTCAAGAGCATATCGACGACAACTTGCGGTGAGCTCCGCAATCAGGATCCTGCCGCTCTTGCGGCGCTAGGAGCTGGGCAGTGACTTGGATCAACCTTCAGGGTATTTGGCTTCAAACTGGACAAGGAAGATTTTGATCTGATAGCTTCGGTTACATCTCAATCTAACGACTTGTTCAAGGTCGTTCTTTTTGGTTGTGCCATTGCAAGATTGATGAGATTTCAGGTCATCGGCGACTGCGGCGATGAATACCGCGGATGATGGCTGCATTACAGGATGTTTGTATTTGTATTGAAGATTTTGAGAGTGATGGTATCGACCAACCGATCTTGTGCGGTGTGCTGGGAATCTAGACGACGTCGACGACTCCACAACCCTCGATGTACTCCAATTTTCCTGTTTCACGTCAGCAAAGTCAAACGGTCGAGTCGTTCGACTACCTCGCAGCATCTCGTCACGGTACTTCTCCAAGTAGCTGCAGCAAGAGGGTCACTGCGACTGTCGTTGCACAAGAAGCAACGATTACGATGCGAGAGATGGCGACTCGACCATCCCCAACCCCTCGCCTGAACCAGTCGTGTCATCCTACGGTGCGGGCAGCAGCAGCAGCAGGAGCAGCAGCAGCAGACTCACTTTTGCTCCATGTAGAAACGCCCTTCTCATGCAACACAAGATACTGCAACGTCACAATCAAACTTGAAGAATCTCCGAGCGATCGCTGGCAGCGAAAGCAAGATGCAAGAAGCTTACGTCTCCCTCTCCGTCGATTGCGAATGGGACCATGCCCCCTCCCCCCTTCCATGTGACATCAGCAGCCTCGTACGCAGGTATTCTGGCATTCCCCCCGGAGGAGCCATACCTTGTCCGAGCTGAGGATCTCGGACCTTGCTTCCAGAATCTTCTTGGCAGACCTGGAGGAGAGCTGAGAAACAATCTCTCCCTTGAGACAGAACCCTCACAAGGTCGTTGACGAGTAGACCGGCATGTTTCCGTCGTGAGCCAGCAGGAGCGACTGCAGGAGCAGAGCTCAGACCTCGGAGCCCAACGGGAACCATAGGTGACCTTGAGCACAGAGTCGATCTGCCCCCCCTCCAAAGAGCTCTCGAGCTCCTTGATCGCATCGTCAGAGGCTGGGGGCGTTTGAGCGTAGACGTTCCCTACGGGTTGCGTCAATAGAAATCTTGATGCCTCCTCCTGCCTTCGCTCACCGAGCTCCTCACAATTCGATTTGAACCATGTCTCCAGGTCCAGCAGGCACTGGGTGACCTCCTCGTCCGTCATGTCCCCTTGCCTGGTGTTGTGCATGGCTGGTATTGAGCCCTGTCTTCTGACATCATGATGCGTGCACGCTGACTCGAGGAGTGATGGGGAATGCAGAGAGGAAGAAGCGTTTGAAACGCAGAGGAGGAGGAGAGCAAGCAGGCAAAACTGTGGTACTGAGCAGGAGGAGCAGGAGGAGCAGGAGAAGGAGCAGGAGCAGGAGCAGGAGCAGGAGCAGGAGCAGGCGTCAGTGCGATCGTATCGATTTAGTCGTACACCTTCGAAAGAGCAAGCAGGCAAAATTGTGGTACTGAGCAGGAGGAGCAGCAGGAGCCGCAGGAGCAGGAGCAGGAGCAGGAGCAGGAGCAGGAGCAGGAGCAGGAGCAGGAGCAGGAGCAGGAGCAGGAGCAGGAGCAGGAGCAGGAGCAGGAGCAGGAGCAGTCGTCAGTGTGATCGTATCGACTTGGTCGTTCACCTTGGAAACCTCCATGGCTGCGCGTTCTTTTCACTCATCCATCAGGCCTGCCTCATGGAATCGGTCGAACTCAGACGAGCCCGCCTCGTCCTCTATTTCCATCCCCCCCGATGAAAACATGATCAGGCAGGAGGGACAGGAGGAGAGAGGAGGAGGGGAGGAAGGGGAGGAAGGGAGCACATGGTTGAGGGGGAGGGGGAAGCGTATCGAGACAGAGGATGGTGCCGTCTAGCTCGTTCAACGTGGATGTAGAAGGTTGAGGCAAACCATCGTCAGGCTGGAATGTTCCCACAAAGAGGCCTGGCCCGAGTCAACTCCAACCATGTCCACCTCATCGCAAGCGTGCAGCTCGTCCTGCTGCTTGTATCATGCTCTGGCGAACTTATGGCGAACGTCTCGGACGCCGCGAACTTCACGACTGTTCCGTGGAACCAGACAACCCCCGAGCCCAACGCTGCCAGTACAAGTCGACCCAATGAGACCGTCGGAGAAGCGATCTCGGCGTCAAGTCGACCCAATGAGACCGTCGGAGAAGCGATCTCGGCGTCAAGTCGACCCAATGAGACCGTCGGAGAAGCGATCTCGGCGTCAACGCCGCCCCCGCTCATCGGCGCATGCGAGAACTCGAGCATCGCAGGGCTCTCGCGGACAAACGGGCCGACATCGGGAGGATTCGCCGTCACGCTCCTTGGAAGATTCCTGGGGACATCAAACGACTCAGCTGTGCAGGTCAGGTTTGGCTCGCAGAGTTCAGGGGAGGTAACGTGGCAGTCGGACACGTCCATCGTTGCACAAGTTCCTGCCGGTTTCAGCGATCTGGGGTCAGCATTGCGCATCGACACAGGGCAGGATTGCTACATCGAGAATGTCCCTCGTACCTTCAACAATGTGTTCTCCTACGACCGTCCCATGATAAGCAGGATGCAAACAGCCAGCAGCGTGTCAACGGAAGGAGGAGCGAAGGCTACTATCACCGGGATGAACTTCGGGCTCGGTGACTTCACTCCCGTGATGCTGGTGGACTCCTTCTACAAGGGCTACGAGGCATGCAGCACGCGATGGGTCAGCGACTCGTCTTTGATCAGCATCTTGCCGCCCGGAGTAGGAAGGGGAAGGACGATCAGGCTGGAGGTGGGAGGCGTGGAGGCAAGCCAGGTGTGCACTGCAGATAACCAGTCGTCTGCCACCGCGATGAATGGAAGCTCCGTCCAGCACCCTTGCTTCACAGTGAACTACTCGGCTCCAGCCATCCTGGATGTCAACCCGAAGTTGGGGCCGTATGTTGGGGAGCAGACGCTGACTGTGGGAGGATCGGACTTCGGGCCGGAGCCTCCGGCTGGAGCTGATGGGCCAACAATACAGGTGGGTGAGAGGAGGTGCCAGCAGACAAGTTGGGTTTCGCAGACCAGCGCTCTGTGCAAGATCAGTGGAGGAACGGGAACGTTTCTGCCCCTCAAGGTACTTGTGCAGCAGCAGCCCCCTCCCCTGCCTCCTGCTAACTCGTTTCAGATCGATGTCGGCAACCAGAGCAGCGGAGCAGCCGCGCGATTGGAGGGAGGAGTCAACCTGCTATCGTTCACGTTCGTCAACGTGTCTGGCCCGCTGTCGGTCGTGATCGAGCCCAACCAGGACGTGGGTGACAAGGTATGACTTGCTGCCCACTCTTCTCCTTCAGACGTGGTTGCTGATGCCCCGATAGAAACGGCTGGCTGAAAAGTTCAAGGATGACCTGGCCTACCTCCTCTTCGGGTTCTGCGCTGGAATATCTCCAAGGGCGGAGGCTTGTGGAGATTACATCAGGGCGGAGCAGGTCCAAGTCGTGGACACGTCTCTGCAACGGAGGAAGGAGGAACATTTCCTGTGGAGCAGAGAAAGAAGAGGAGGAGGAGGAGGAGGAGGAGGAGGAGGAGGAGGAGGGACCGTGGAGGA